CAACATCAAGTAACAATGGATTAACACTTTGATTTGTCGTTAATTGCACATGTCGGCATTCAGTTGGATATTTTCAAGCACACAGACACGCAGGAACCGCTGCAACAAGCACGAAATGTGGTTGGTTGCAAAAAACAGTTCCCTGCTGTCACCTGATCTGACACTGATCCTTTTGCCTATTTCCTTAAGAAATTTAAGGGTGTTGGGGTCCATCGGGCCGAGAACCTCGATGCATATTGGCAAGAATTCCATCGAGGGGAGGGCATTCCCATATTTTTTCATTTTCTCGTCCGCTGCCCTGGCCGCGGCCAAACCGCATTCTTTACTTGTCAGGTTTACGTATCGTTCGGCGAGGGTGCAAGGGACCGTAACATCCCACGCCAAACATCTGCCGGCTCTCCAAGGTATTAGTGTGCATCCGTCCGGTCGCCTACCATCATGCGCAGAAATGCCGGATGGTTCCTTGAGAACCGGGATTGAAGCCTTGGAGAAGAGCCGACAAATGTAGTCGTTTAGCGCTGAGTGACGTAGTTGACGGCCCCCACCCAGGCGACAAACCAAACCGTGGTGCCCAAACTCGTCCGCCTCAGCGCCGCATCGGCACGTGTATTTATTTTGAATGACCAGGCCAAGTCTGAAGCCAATGGCAAATCTTACAGACTCGTCGTCAAGCCTGGTGCCCACAGAGGTGTTAGGCCACGATCTCAACCACCCACAGCTGGCAACGCTGGACATGGCCAACAAACGAGCGGTGGAAAAGTCGTCGCCGCATGAAGACAACAAATTTTGAAAGATTTTTTTATATTCTTCGTTCAAAATTTGGACGTGCGTACGGTCCCCAGGGGCGGACGCTGGGGGAAGAATATCGCGGCAACGAAAAGATGGTCGAAACATAGACAGTACGTATGTATGTATGTATGTATGCATGTATGCATGTATGCATGTATGTATGTATGTATGTATGTATGTATGTATGTATGTATGTATGTATGTATGTATGTATGTATGTATGTATGTATGTATGTATGTATGTATGTATGTATGTATGTATGTATGTATGTATTTACATTGTATTTTCATTACATTTACAGAACGCCAATTTAGAAAACAATCGTCACAGGCGCTTCTATATATTAAATGCCATTAAGAGCTGAACAGATAGGTTCATAAACTGTCTCATAAACTGACTCAGAGTAAAATCACCAATGCGCAAAGTGTTTGGAAAGCCATTCCACAACCATGGCCCAACGACAACAAAGCTTCGAGATCCAATCTTGAGGTTTGTCTTTCGCCCACAGAAAAAATTTGAATCAACAGACTTCAGTTCATATTTTGACAACTTTCTTTTATTTATAGTAAGCATATCGATCATATTTTATGTACGTAAGTATTTGTGTACCAATGTACCAACAAAAATTAAAAAAAACTAAATCAAAAACAATAACCAACAGACCAAAGATAAAAAAAAACCATAAAAAAACAAATAGATAAATACGTTGTCTTTCCACTTCCGGTTGGTCCCAAGATAGCGTTCATTCCTGGTCGGAATATCCCACTAACGTCGCTAAGGATCGGCTTGCTGATGACCTCTCCACAACATTTTTTGGACCCCTTCCTATCTCTCATCTTGACGTAGAAGCCAACTTTGTGGAAACTGATCGTTGACATTTTTGTCGTTGTTGTTGTAGTTGTTGATGGTGTTGTTGTTGTTGTTGTTGCTGTTTTTGGTGTTGTATTTGTTGATAGTGTTGTTGTTTTTGTTGTCGTTGGTGTTGTTGTAGTTGTTGATGGTGTTGTTGTTGTTGCTGCTGTTTTTTGTGTTGTATTTGTTGATAGTGTTGTTGTTGTTGTCGTTGGTGTTGTTGTGTTAGTGAAAGTGTTGTTGTTGTTGTTTTAGTTGATGTTTTTAATTATAGTCAATTGATGATCGGATCAAAATTAATGTCATAATGTTATATCCTCTCAAATGAAGACGACCATCAACTTTTTACATTGCCTTCAGAGTTATGTTCAACAATGAAAAATTTATTAATTATTGATATCATTTATTACTATTATTATTATTTAATTTATTAATTTTTTATTTATTAATTTTTAAATAAAAGTAAATTCGGCGAGTTCGCTAATACAACTTGACTTATTCTATGATGATATGCTTATATAAGTTTGTGTGTGTGTATGTGTGTGTTTGAAGAGTTATATAACTATTGTTAGTTATGTGTGTGTGTGTGTGTGTGTGTGTTGTGTACGTATGAGTGTATGTTGTGTACGTATGAGTGTATGGGTGTGTGTGTGTGAATGTATGTGGTTGTGAATGTATCAAAACTTCGTTAAATTTTTAAGATATTTTTCAAAAGTCTACAAAAACTACTTATGTAGTCTTCTAGAAATTGACTAACTGATAACTGATTAAACTGTAGGTACGTGAGTTTTTGTTGTATATTTGTGCGTATCTGTGTGTGTATGTGTGTGCGTATATATCTTTCTCTCTTTCTCTTTCTCTCTCTCTCTCTCTCTCTCTCTCTCTCTTTCTTTCTGTGTGTTGTGTGTGTGTTTAAAGAATGTGTTCGAGGTTAAAATTATTGCATATAAAAATAGTTAACTGTTGAAACCACTTGTCGATAGAAGCGTAGCTTGATAAAAAAAAAAATAATAATAATAATAATAATAATTAAATAACAACAATAATAATTAAAAAACAACATTAACAATAATAAAAATAATAAAACAATAATTAAAAGGATTGATCTAGTGCTACTCTATATTTGTTATCGTCAATCTTATGAGTTATATAACACATCTTCAGATATAAATACAATAAACATCTTACAGGTAAATTATGTAAGTACATATAGTTTGTATAACAATGTTTGTGTGTGTGTGTGTGTGTGTGTGTGTGTGTGGTGTGTGTGTAACTGTGTGTCTACAGACATCTATAATTCAAGATGGTTTTATGTAAGCAGGTATGGATGTTTGTATACGTATTTGTATGTGTGTATGGATATGTATGTACAATCATATATTATTCAGAGGTCTGTATGTATGTGTGTGTGTACTTACTATATTATCATCATCGTCGTCATCAACATTATCATCGTCGTCGTCATATTTCAACAAGCTTATCACTATCACTCAAGCTTTCAATGATATATTTTGTTTTTGAAACGAAGGAATGATAAAAAACAAACTGAATAAAATTGATACTATCTAGAAAAAGTTCTATCTCTAAAGTTATCACTGTTTTCACAAGCATTGTACGATTACCACTATCATCATCATCATCATCATCATCATCATCATCATCATCAGGATCATTATAACCACCATTAATCACCATCATCATTATCATCCTCACCATCATTACCATCATTATCATCATCACCACCATTATCTTCATCAACATAATCATCAACATCATCACCTTCATCATTATCATCATCGTCATCATCATCGCCGTCATTGTTATCATCACCGTTACTCTCACTCACTCAAATCTCGTGCCTATAAAAGTTATTAAAATTTGCAACCACAACTGGAACGGGCAGGGCTATAGTCAGCACCCCGGCTATCACGCAGAAGGTGCCCACCAATTTACCCCACACTCCCACGGGCGTGACGTCACCGTAGCCCACGGTCGTCATGGTGACGACGGCCCACCAGAAAGCTTCGGGTATGGAGTTAAGCTGGGTGTTTTGCTCCCCTGCTTCAGCGTAGTAGACCGCCGAGCTGAATATCACCATGGCAACGATTAGGAAGAAGAAGAACATTCCTGGTTTATTATTATTATTGTTATTATTATTATTATTATTATATTATGCATAATCATTAGCGTAGGGGTTTTATTGTTATACCATATGTTATTGCCGCTGTTATTGTTACATTTAATTTGTGATTTTCTTTAATGTAGAATATTGAGAGTTGTTAATCATTGGTTTGTCTATGCATTCATCATCAATATAAGCAACAGTAACAATAAAAACATCAGTAACACGAAAAATAACAATAATAACGACTACGTCACAAACAACAACAACAACAACTTACAAACGAACATAAAAGATGACATTAACTACATTAATAAAACGAGCCAGCCAGACATACTCTCCTATAAAAACATCGATTGATCCCATAAAAAGTTGGTCTTTAGAAAAAGTTTATTTGTGTAATTAAATAATTTGTTTGTCTATGCAATCTTCATTCATTCACTTCTTTCGTTTATTCGTTCATAGACCGTTCATTTATCTATTCATTCAATCATTCGTTGATTCACCAATCCATTCATTCATGTACTAAGCAAAACAACCACCAACCAATCAACCAACCAACCAACCAACCAACCAATCAACCAACCAACCAACCAACCAACCATCCAACCAGCACTAACCCAACTCATGCATGCTAGTCTTTATGGTCAGCCCTAAAATCCTTAGACCTTGCGAATGTTTCGACAACTTGAAAATCCTGACAACTCGTAAAATCCTGACGATAACGATGGACTCTCCGGCGCTCCGGTCGTCATTACAAGAATCATCGTTCAGTTGCATTGCTAGGACCACAAAGTAAGGTAATATGGCTAGGAGGTCAAAGATGTTCATTATGCTGCGAGCGAAAGCCTTTTTTGACGGGCTTGATATGAGACTGTTTGTTGATTGGTTAGTTTGATGGCTGGTTGGTTGGTTGGTTGGTTGGTTTGCTGATTGCTTGATTAGTTGGTTGATTGGTTGGTTAAATGAGTGGTCGGTTTGTTAAATTTCAACTAATAAAAACAAAAGTACTAAAAAAAGATTTTTTTAAAGTCCTAACCGCAGTAAAAACTCAAATGTGAACCATATAACGCAGATGGTTTCAACGACGTAAAATGGATTGGCATAGTTGTGACGCAACTGAATCTCACCTAGTGGTTGTGGTAGCGGTAGCAGCAGCAGTAGTAATAAAAGCAGTGTTAATTGTAGTATTAGTAGTAGTAGTAGCAGTGGCATTATTACGGCCATAGTCATTCATGAAAATTGCTAGTAAAAAAATTCACAACACGTATTTGTTCAAACAAGTAAGTAGAAACAAAAAAACTACAAGAAAAAAAAGAGAGAGATAATGAGAAATAAAAGAAAAGAGAGAGAGAAAAAGACAAAAAGACAAAAACACACAAACAAACCAGGCTTCAAGGTAGAGGCAGTCAAAGGCGTCGACAACAGCATCATCCGACTATCATTATTGTACATCACTGCATCGCTGCCAATGTTGTCGCCACCATTATCACCATCAACATTACTACTACCATTAATACTACTACTACTACTACTACTTCTGCCGCCGCCGCTGCTGCTACTACTACTTCTTATTTTTCTAATAATACTACTACCATTACTGTTACTAACAGTAGAGCTACTACTAAAAATTTCACCGTGGTTTCTGCTGTTATTACCACTATTATTATTATTATTATTATTTGTAGTAGTAGTAGTAGTAGCAGCAGTAGTAATAGTAGTAGTGGCAAAATCGTCAGAAGCAGCTGGTAGCGTAACATTAACGCATTGTGGGTTAGGTATGCTGGGAATTGTTTCCAGACAGAACGTGGTGACGCTGACCACAATGCAAATGATGCTTATGATGGCGAAGATTTTGGCGTAGATGGAGCTGTCTGGCTCCTCACAGAATAACCAGACCTAGTGGAAGCGAATTTTGAATAAATAACATTTAACGAATGTAATAGTAAAATGTTGGAAAATGTATGTATGTATGTATGTATCAATCAATCAATCAATATATTATATGTATTCATATTATATATATTTATATTTATATTATAATAATTAAATAGTGTATTTATAGACGGGAGTGTTTTCTGGGTCACTACCTCTGAGGATGAACATCTTGATAGACTTGATGTAAACAGCAGCTACAACAATGACACCAACAACGACGTCATTAATAGACATTCGCCGAAACGCCAACAAAATCCATAGCATCAACAATGTCATTTACAACTGCAACAACAACAACCTCAGCAAAGCTGGTAAATCACATTAATAGAAATAACATCAACAAAGACAAGATTTCTGACTCGACAACCTTTTTCTGAACGCTATCGTCGTCTAGGAGGTACAGGCAGTCGTCGTCAACTACGTCACCGAGTATGCCCTCCTTCTGCCGGAAGGAGTTAATGACGTCATCGCCGAGCTGGTAAAAATTTAGTTCATCCAAAAACACATCTTCCGGTACTTCAACTGGGCGCCTTAGCCGACCTAGTGTTGAGTAAATTCACCTTTTTTAAAATTATATAAAATATTTCTGTTTTCATCTTCGGGCTAGCGCTGCTGCTACTACCATCGCCACTGCTACTACTACTACTTCACTACTTCTTCTACTACTACTACTACTACTACTACTACTACTATTTCTACTTTTACTACTACTAGTAATAATAATACTACTGCTGCTGCTGTCGTTACTGAACAAAAGTAAAAAAAATAAAATAGATAATAATTTACCTCCGCTTTGGTAGAAATACAAAATGGCCTGGAAAGTAGGTCTATGTCTATCAAAGAAATATTCCCCCCTCACTTTATCCCAATATCTCTCTCGTTTCTCACTATCTCCCAGCAGTGTTTTGGGGAATCTTCATTATAGCCATCAGACGGATGGGAAAAATTTGGTGAACGAATGAAAAATAAAAAGGATTGAATGAAGATTTGAATCTCGAAATTTTTGGTTTAAAAGAGACAAATGAATTGTTGAATGAATGAATAAATGAATGAATGAATGAATGAATGAACGAATAAACGAATGAACGAATGAACGAATGAATGAATGAATGAATGAATGAATGAATGAATGAATGAATGAATGAATGAATGAATGAATGAATGAATGAATGAATGAATGAATGAATGAATGAATGAATGAATGAATGAATGAATGAATGAATGAATGAATGAATGAATGAATGAATGAATGAATGAATGAATGAATAAATGAATGAATGAATGAATGAATGAATGAATAAATGAATGAATGAATGAATGAATGAACAAATAAAAATATTAAAGACTAAATAAGTGCTTTTACATTATAACCAAAAGTACCTGTTTAAAGTCCTCAGCTGGGTTTCGAACCTTTGTCCGCTGACATTAATTGTCACTCTTCCACAACCAGCCTATCAGAAAAAGTTTAAAGAAAAAATGAAAAATAATAATTAATTAATAAAAATATTATAAATAATAAAGTTTTATACAACTTGAAGAAGCTGTTATTTAAACTATTCATATACACGCGAAAATTAGAATAGCAGAAAAGGATACACAAATAGCAGCAGATAAATAAATACAACACAACATGCATTCAACAAACGCATTGGGCAAGCGTACAACCAACCATCCAACCAACCAACCAACCAACTAACCAACCAACCAACCAACCAACCAGCCAATCAACCAACCAGCTAACTTCAACTCAAACTTACCTTTGCACAATCATGTTCTTCACCAGCCACGAACACATCATCATTAACTGTCGGTAAAGTTCTACTTATCGACTGTCTGTAGCCAAATAAAACCGGATAGATGGAATTTTCCAGAACGGATGTTGAGGAACCGGACAAGGAGGATGAATGTAGGGGTGAAGTGGCGAAGGCAGTACTTCTCCTACCCCTGAAATTTGATGGGTTCTCGATCAGTAACCAATCAAATTTTAATTTTATTAATCTTTAATTAACAATTAGCAAATTTTTTGAAAATTTTTGCTAGAAAACAAAAAAAAATTATTCTCGACCCTTTTGAGATTTTCGAATGCGATTGGTTGTCATTGGACGTATTAACATTCCAATGGACAGGACCTTCGGTGCCATAGCCCTGCAAGAGCCAAGGTGGGAGGTGTCTGCATAAATTATGTTAATTGGATTAGCCTAAATACATAAAAACTGTTACTATATATCTGGAAACTATTGATGAACTAACCTTATTCTGGCTTTTATCGACATTGTGCATGTAGTTGTCAGTGAACTAACTTTATTAATTTAACATACTAAACAGATTGTATTCAAGTCATTTTCAAACTTTTCAAGAAACTTAAATACGGTTATAGAAGTTTTTAAAAATTGATAATAAAAAATATAACTGTTTAAATAATTTACGTGATAAACTTGTGAGTTAGAACACATCCAAAACAATATGCTCTAACAAAATTGATTTAAACGTGTTAACTTCAATATTGATACATCGTATACATACACAACATATATATATATATATATATATATATATATATATATACATATATATAACAATAAACACACATACATACATATACATGCATATATAGGCGCACATACATACATAAATACAAACACATATACATACACGCATACACATGTATGCGTGTGTGTTTTTATTTTTATAAGATAGATGGGAAATAAAACAGATATTTAAAAAAAAAAGAAATAAAATAGATATATCTCGAAAACAACCAAACTAAACTAACATAACATAAACAAAGATAGAAAAAAGTTATTCACGAAGCAAGAAAACTGCTCGTATTATTGTTTAATGTCTGTGTTTCAAATGCGTTTGTTCGTGCAAACAAACGAACGTACGAACGAACAAACAAACAAAAGAACAACATTGGTGTAAAAATACAACAAAAGTATCAAATTGTTACATTTATACATACATACATACATACATACATACATGCATACATACATACATACATACATACAACAAAAGTATCAGTAAAGTAGGTTTTAACATACATACATACATACATACATACATACATACATACATACATACATACATACATACATACATACATACATACATACATACATACATACATACATACCGTTATAAATCCCTGTGTTCTGCAAAACATACAAGTAAAACAACAAAGCAATTGTTTTGATATACAGTAATGAACGATGATGAAGATGATGAAGATGATGATTGTGGGACGATGATGATGAAGAAGAAGATGACGACAAAGATGATGATAATGATTATGATAAAAAAAAATAATAATAATAATAATAATAATGATAATAATAATGATAATAATAATGATAATAACCCATAGCAACATCACAATGAGGATCATCTTTATGCTGATGACGACGACGATGATGATGATGGCGGTAATGATGATGAAAATGATGGTGATGATTACGATGGCGGGGACGACGACGATGATGATGATGAGGAGGATGATGATGATACTGATGACGTAGGTTTGGCTTTTATTTATTTATTTTCGTATTCGTGTTCTCAAACGCCTTATTACATTGCAAAACTATGATCTATTTATAAGACCTATTATTATCTTCTTAGTATATATATATATATATATATATATATATATAGGTTATGTATTAATATAAAAATCATTTATAAAGATAAAGGTAAACGAATGGTTGAATGAATGGATGGATGGATGGATGGATGGATAGATGGATGGATGGATGGATGGATGGATGGATCGATGGATGGATGGATGGATCGATGGATAGATGGATGGATGGATGGATGGATGGATGGATGGATGGATGGATGGATGGATGGAAAAAAAATGGTAGAATGATGGATGGATAGAACAAGCGATAGATGGATGAATAGGTGAAAGAATGAATGAGCAAATAAACAAACTCTATTCATTGATCATGTAAATAAAGCGAGTGTGAACTAAACAATGAAAGATCGAACAAACGAATGAACAAAAAAATAAACATATAAATGAAAGAACGAAAAAACGAACGAACGAACGAACAAACGAACGAACGAACGAACGAAAGAACGAACGAATGAATAAATTTTTGATCTGTTAATATCAGAAACAAACGAGTTTCGGTGTTATAACATCGGTTTCGTCGTTAACTGTTAGGCACCATTTTTCAATAAAGGAGAAGATTTCATCGAATTTTATGAAGAAAAATAACAAAAACCGTCGATTTTTCAAATTTATTCCAGATCATCATCAACATCTTCAGTTTTTTTATCATTACATTGGCGATTATTGTAGTGGGGTAATATTATCATTATCGGCAGTAGTATATTTGTAGTAGTAGCAGCAGCGGCTGCAGCAGCAGCAGTAGTAGTACTAGTAGTAGTCAAAATAACGATAGTAAGAGCAAAAGAAGTAATTGAATCAGCAGAAGCAGTAGCAGCAGCGGATGTAGAAGTAGTTGTAGTTAGAGCAGCTGAAGCATAATTAGTAGTTGTAGTTGTAGCGATATATTTTTCTTTTTCTCATCACTGTACCAATTTTATTATCATATTAAGAATAATAAAAATATGCATTATCGTAATCTCCTAATAACAATAAGAAGTGAAAAAATTTTTCCTACAAAAAATATTCAGAAATACTAAAATATTAGTTTGTATGTACGTATGTATGTATGTATGTGTGTATGTATGTATGTGTGTATATATGTATGCATGTATGCATGTATGTTTGTATGTATGTATGTATGTATGTATGTGTGTATGTATGTATGTGTGTATATATGTATGCATGTATGCATGTATGTTTGTATGTATGTATGTATGTATGTATGTATGTATGTATGTGTGTATGTANG